CTATAAAAAGAGCCCATGTACGTATCCAAATCCAAGGTGGAGTGGAAGGCATGTGTCCACATCAGGAGAAATCTCAACATGAGATACAAAAAATACCCTCCTCAATTCCCCAGCAGTTCCCGCTAATAGTGACTTTCATTCTTGCCATTTGCTATTTGAAAGCGCTGATCTGTCAGGAGACATGGGCAACACTGTGGCTCCCCAGGCCTGAGATGACAGAAGCCCATGAGTCTTGCTCCATGACAGATGCTGGACTGAGATAACCAAAAAGAATAGGAAATGTGGGGAACAGCAGCTGGGCCAGACAAATTCAACTTCCCACCTGCTGTTGATTTACACATTCATCTCTCAAACCCGATCCCCATCCTTGGAAAAATCTGCCAGCATGTCGAGAAATTAATCAATTTGGGGAAAGGGAGGGAGTTATCCATGGTCGATTTTATATTCTTTCTGTAAGCACATTTGTGTAGCACAGAGGCAGCTGAGTCGAACAACAGTGGCTTTCTCTGCTCTCTGCTGTAATCACCCATACACCTGGGACTCACGGCCCGCACTGCTGTTTTCTTAGATGAGAATGCTTTTTTCCTAGGGTAAAGCTGGCTTTGGAAACTAATTAGATATGTCTGCATTTTTTGTTTGGCTTCCCGAGTATGCTATGGACATCTAATTTGCATTTCTGTCTTGTCCCTCCCTTGTTGTCTTTGTTGCTTTTCCTTTTGTCTGAATAGAGAACGAGAATGATTTCTGAACACGATGGGTCAAACATGCTACTCTTCAGTGTGTGTCTATATATGTATGCAAAATCCAAGTGCCTCAACTGCTGCAAAACAATCTTTATTCTGAAGAACATTTCAGCTCAAGAAAATTCTCTTTAAAATGTCTAATTCACTACTGTGATTTCCTTTAAAGTTCTAATTAGTTGTGCACCATAAGGAATTCTGTAAATTGCAGTGTTTCGTTTAAAGCTTTTAAAGTACAGGAGGCTCTAATAATGAGTTTTGCCACAATCAGTCTTTAAAGAAAGCAATTTTGACATGTAAGTTTCATATTTTTGGAGATGTCATACATCTTAGACACAATCATAACGTTGAGTCGCAAATTAATATTTGTTGCTTAATGCCATCAAAATGTCAGATTAATGAGTAATTAACAACGTTTGTACATAATGTTATTTCCTTCTTTCTGCAAAGGCCAAAAGCATAATGGAGAATTCAAGTCAAGAAACATCTTTCAACAAATATATTCTCTGAGTTCTCCTTTTAAATAACTTACTACCAGGTCTATAACTGTCTTCTTTTAATGATCAGCAAACAGCTGGGTTTCTAGATAACATGGGGAATACAAAATATTCATGTTATTTAAGCTATTGCTATATTTTACTCATATTCTTTTATTTGCTGGTCTTAAAGGGGAAAGAAACCATGGCCACTGCCTGCTCCCACCCCCTTTTAAAGGAAAGATTATTCCCCTATACAACCTCTACCTGCTATGCCCTGCGTTAGGACTACTAAGCTATTCTGTATCCCATACCTGTTTTTCAATATTTCTTTCTCCTCTTGGAGTTCATTGAAACGTGACTCTCTCTAAGCATACTTCCCACGTTCCCCCCTTCCCCAGAAGAGGCAAGAGCTGCCCTCTGTTTGGTCAGTGTCAGCCTTGGCCTTCCCCTGGATACATCCTTTCTCCATGTTCCCAGTCTGACCATGCCCACAGCGCCATTACTCTCCATTTGGCTCCTCCTATCACACCGGGACCATTTATCCCTCTGTCATCTATTGCCTGCCTTCCCTTTCCATTCCAAGGCTTAGGGTTAAGGAATTGGAAGCCACCATGTCTATGGCCCAGCCTCCTGCACGGTTAACATTTTCCTAAACCCCTCAAGCCAATTCCCAGCCTCAGACCATTCGCACTATCCACTCTACCCATTCCTCTGCCTGGTCACAGATCACTGAGATGGGGAGAAGACAAATCTTTGGGAAGCTGGCTTATTACCGATCCAAACACCACCAACTCTGAGAAGCATGGCTGGTGCTCAGACATGCTTCATGCTCAGACATGCCTCCTCGTCTTCCTGAGCCAGACCCCACAGGAACTATTCTGTTTCCCGGTCTGCTTCAGTTCTCCTCAGCCCCTAGCCCTATCTCATTGGAGAGCCTTGCTCCTGCACCATGGTGAAGGAGAGCCTCCTGGGGAGTGTGGACCCAATCAGGGCCCCTTCACTGCCTCTTGTTCACCCCACAGCCCCACGCACCTGTTCCTTTTCCCCTCCCATAGCTCATTTATAGTCCCCAATATGAATAACATCTCTAACCAAAACCTGAGGCGGCTGTGTATTTCTTTCTACTTGCATGTGTTGCCCTGACGGACTTTCTACGTGTCTAAAACTGTCTCCTTTCTCAGCAGTCCCATTCTTGCCACTCATACTACGTATTACTTCTTAAAAATTAGAGACAGGATATCGCTTTGTTGCCCAGGCTGGCCTTGAACTCCTGAGCTCAGGCAAACCCCTTGCCTCAGCTTCCCAAGTAGCTGGGACTGCAGGCATATGTCACCACACCCAGCCTGTATTACTTTTTAATTTCAATTTAAAGTGCAGTAAAACAAAAATCCTGAGCAAATTAACTGTCCAGTGTCTACCCTCACCTGCAAATTAATGTAAAAGTAAAAGTAAATAAAACCACAAAGGAGATTCCTTGCATTTTATCAATTATACTAATTTTTGGACACACACAAAAAGAGGTACTGCCCAGACCCATATAACCTGCAAGAAAACCTGTTTTCCAACCTCCTGTTACTGATATTCAAGAAATAGCTGGCCCTGGGTTTCTCAGCAAACAGACTATTCATTAAGTGGAATCCTGGGTGTTAAATCGCCTTGCCTCCATGGCATTGCAGGTAGCTCTGGCAGGTGCATAGTCCAGCACGTCCCTGATTTCCCATTCAGAACACAGAGGAATGTACACAAAAGCACTGGTAAGCAAAATAGCTCCCAAACAGCTCTCTAAGGCTTAAAGTGACACTAACACTAAACGTCCTGAATCAGGAGGCCTATCTAAGGAGCAAGTTCACTGCCTACCCAGGGAATACACCACTCAACTGGTGTATTTTAAGAACCTGAATAGTCAGAGCATCTTCATCTTGTTTTGGAGCCTGACAAGGACTCAACACACTGCACTTCTCATGCTCAGTCTCTGCAGACCCCGTTGCCCAAGTCTGTTTTCTGTGTCAAGTGCTCAGTCTAGGACAGATTCTCAAATCTGCTAATATTGCAGCTGAAGAAGCACATTCTTGATGCTTTCTTGCAAACAATATGTTTTTTTTTTTAAAAAAAAATCAGAAAATAGTTGTTTTTTTCTCAACTCGGCTGTCTGAAGGTGAACCTACCTCTGCCTATAGAAGCTGCTCCCAGAGAACATCTGGGACTGTAGTGAAGTCACATTGGTTGCCATGAGCTCTAACGTTACCAAATTCTCCCTACCCACTTACCTCCTTAGCTCCCACCCTTTCCACTATTCTCATACAGTTAGCAGCACCAAGAGAACTTTGGGGAAACAGCCCTTTTTCACCATCAGAACCTCAGGTCAATGACGGGTAGAGCCTTGTTCCCATAACCCTATAGCTCAGGTACCTTTCTCCCTTGCCTGATCCAATGTACACCAGTAAGGAGTGGGGGGAAAGACAGAAACCATCCACCACTGAGGATCATATGGTGCTTTCTTCTTCTTAGTATGGATTACTGCAATAATACAAGCTTCTTTCAAGTAACAAAGCAACACGATTTGAATTCGTGACTAATCTTGAGCTCACATCATTTACATGAAATGATACACATTATAAAAATACTTGCAATTGTATGTCACAAAGGACAATCATTCTAGAGTGAGGATGATGGGGAGTGCAGAAGGAACATATGCTTCCACAGCCTTCTGCCCTGAATTTGTAGGAAAGAGAAGTAGAGATGCTGGGTTAGAGGACAGGGGTAAGTGCCTGACAGCCGCTAAGCCTCGAGATGAGCGTCTAGCCTTAAGAAGCCACTAATGCTTGGCTTGGCTATGTTGAAAATTTAATAATACAAGAGTCAGTGAAAATTTACTTTTGGAATGGATATACACATCCATTCATCCAACCAAAAGATATGGTGGGATAGTTGCACACATGTTCTTGGCAGCCCAGTAGCAAAAAGATGAAAGCAACGCATCAATGGGTGAATGCATAAACAAAATGTGGTCTCTATCTACAATGGAATATTATTTGTACTTAAAAAAGGAAAAACACCCTGTTACATGCAAAAACATGGATGAGCCATGAGGGTATTATGCTACGTAAAATAATGCAGTCATAAAAAGACAAATACAATGATTCCACTTATGCAAAGTATCTAAAGTAGTTAAATTCACATAAACAGAAAGTAGAAGAGTGTTTGCCAGGGCCTGAGGTAGAAAGGAAAGAGGAAAGTTGTCTAATGGGTATGGACTTGAAGTTTTACAAGTCAAAAAGTTCTGGAGATCTATTGTGCAACATTGTTAAAATACTTAACACTACTGAATGGTACACGTAAACATGGTCAGTATTATATGTTTTTTTCCCTCACAGGGAAAAAAGGCAAAGAGAGAAAAAAGAATATACAGTAGCTGAATGTGATTAGCAGATACAAAATTACAAATTTTCTCATTTGGCAAAGAACCTAAATGGCCTCTTCCCTCTCATGCCACATATTTAATGAACTCATTATTAGTTGAATTACTTTTGCTTCAAAGTATGGAGCCAAAGCAATATTAACACCACTCTTACCTTTTGATTTAATATTTTTGTCTTTATAAAGCTTAACTGTGAAATGTCTATGAATTTCTCTCCAAGTTTGTAAGCTGCTGACAAAAACTCACAAATGCAAACAGCCCCCCCTCCCCCACAAACTTTCTCCCCCATCACACGCATAAACCTGAGTTTCATTCAACACCAGGCCTCAGGAGATGTGAAATCAATCAGCCAAACATCAATAAGAGAATTGAGGTCCTCACAATCCATCACTTTTTCTCTTAAAGTAAATAAATTCCCAGTGATCAAAATGTGTCTCCTTTTGCATGTTATCTAAGCTGATGCTGTTTCAGCATGTTAATATGGTTTGCAGTTCCTTACCTTTTTGTTGTGATGTGAAACAGATGAAGGAATTTCATTGCAACAGAACACAGCAGCACATCACCAGGTTGGAAAGCAAAACAAAAACGAAGAGGAAACAGAAAACAGTTAGATTACGTCCTTGGAAAGAAGGACAGAGTGTGCTCCTAATAACATCTATCACAAGAAGAACACAGCAATAACAAAACAGAGATATTTTTATATGCAGCGACACACTTCATAAGAGACACCTCTCTTGCCATCATAATTAGAAATCTATAGCTTCTGGCACAAGGAACAAAGAGAAGGCTCTTTAGCATCTACCCAAGGACTTCCCTCCTGAGCTTGTCATTTCTTAGCTGTGGATTCTGTTACTACAAACACATAGGACATAATTCCTCCCTCAACAATGCAGGAAAACAGCATGGTTGCCTAGGCACAGATTCCTCTTCTTGTCCGAACCTGAGAAGAGAGTTCCACCCTCTCAACAAACAGCCATTGCACTGGTGCCAACATTTCCATATTCTCCAACATTTCTGAGATATGGCTTATAAAACAGACAGTATACATGGCCCTGTGGAAGAGGTCTCTGCTGTGGGAAGGTGGTGACAGTTCTCCAGTCCCAAGAGGGGTAGGATAGACCTCTGTGGGGTGGGTCAGGCTGACTGTCTCTCCTATTCCTGTAATAGTTGTGCTACCTCAAACACTAAGCAGAGGAAATGGACAGTGTTCACTGGGGAACTGCAATGTCCCCCAGCAGTTCCTAAATGTGTGCTCAATCTCTCTCTCCCTCCTCTCTCTCAAGCGCGCGCGCACGCGCGCACACACACACACACACACACGCTTGCTAATACATGCCTGATCCCAAGCTCATCTGAACCTTCCTTAAAGCTGTGCGGCTGAGCCTAGGAGCTGGGAGTTTGTTGAATGCTGTATCGGGGAGAAAATACAGTGTAGAAACCTTGAAAGGAGAGAAGGCAAAGCCTTCTATCCCTTGACAATTAAGGAACACATTATCTAGAGCTGAGGCAGGACTCAGCAGATGTGAATTGAAGGAACCTGTCCTTTTTTTCATCTTTTTCTAGTTAAAGAGGCAAATTTGCAGAGCCTGGCTCAAAATTTAGGTCAGAGTCTCCTGGGAGAACTATCTTTGCTCACATATTTTACAGACATTATTTCAATGCCTGTTATTAGCTGGCTGAGATGAGCCTTCACAGAATAGGCTACTAACTCAGTTGACCTTTGACCTCTGGTCAAGAGCAAGCGGCAATGAAGGGCCTCACCGAACCCCAGCATGGGGTTCTAGCAAGCTGAAACAGTGTCCACACAAAGGATGCAAAGTCATTGGAGGAGGAAGAGGATATGCATTTCTTTACTCACTAGAAAGCATCCTCTGTCCCCTTCTTCCTCTGAACAGAAACCAAGCATGGAAGACACACAGCTCTCTGTCAGGGCAAAAGAAGTGGCTGACCTAGCTCCAAATGGACTTCAAGTTCCTGGTTATGGCAGAGACAGCTAACTGTTCTCTAAACCTACTTCCCTTTATCCATGAGCATCCAGCTAGACTTCATTTCCTAGCCTCCCTACAAGTAAGCCATAACCATGTGGCTGGGTTCTGGCCAGTGGATTGTGGGTGGAAATCATCTGTGCCACTTTTGTGACTGGCCCCTAAAACCACCTGCTCAATCTTCCACTCATCTCTCCTCCCCTATCAGCTACCTGGCTGGGGACGTCTGGGGGAAGACAGCAGAGCTTTGACATCCTGGGCCTCTGAATGACTGTGTGGAGCACAGCCTGCCCCTCCCAGCTATGGGAGTTTCTGAGCATGCGACATTAACACCTGCTGTTCTGAGCCACTGAGGTCTGAGTCTTCACCTGCTATGATGACCTCACTTACATACCCTTTGAGACGGTGGCACACTGCCAGGTTTAGCTTTCATTAGACACCTCTGTGTGCTTCCAACGCATCCCTCCTTTTCTTTTAAGCTCTTCTGAATGTCTGTTGTTCCTTACAATCAATGAATCCCTGGGTAAAATGGGCTTGGAGAAAATGTCCTGGATGCCCAGTGAGAGTCACGGTGGACTGTCTTGCGGGGTGGGGCAGGTGGTTTTGTGTCCTCCCTCACACAGCCCAGAGGGCAGAAAGCATCAAGAGAAAGGCTCCTGACAGGCCCTGACAGGGCTCATTGATAATCACATCAACTAGCTTGTTTGCCTCTTCTACAGCCTACCTTGAAAAAAGACAAAAAGGGTTCAATTAAATTTAGAAAGAACATAACAAAGAATTTCCTGACAGCAGCTGGAATATCTTGGACCAGACCATAAGCTCGGAAGATCTTCAGAGCTAAATATGAATAGAGAGGCAACGGTCCCATTTGGTTTAGGTCAAGCCGTTATTGACCATCTGTCCTGTGACTTTTAGGCTAAGGAAGCAAACTTTTCCAGAAGAGGAATAGAAAAGAAAAGGCCTCTAGTAGTTTTCCTCATAGTCCAACCTGTGCTGCAAGGAGACAGTTACCATGAACAGTTCAGCAAAGGGGTGCAACAATGCTACCATTCCACCTTGGGAAGAATATCCTAAATATCACACACCCCCTGTCACCCACTTGATATAGACTTATGAAATAGCCACACACAAGGTCACACTTATCTTTTGCTGATGGAGAGGGGTATAAATGCATTTAATACACAGGAAGGGAGCATCTGCAATGTGTACTACACTAGAATCAGTGTCGGGGAAGACAGGACTTATGATTTATTATTCCTGTCTTCACGTTGCTTACAAACTACTAACAGAAGCGGGACACAGCGTGACAGATTAAATAAAATAACAATACAAATGATGTCACAAAGGTATCTACAGCCCAATCATTGGGCAGAATTCAGCCTATTATTTGTATCCAAATTGCTTTTCAAACCCATCTAATGTGCCAACACCATCCCTTGGCATGCCCAATCCCAGTTGCCCTGCTTGATTAGTTTCCCCATTAATATACGTCATTTTGTACGATGCTATTTAATTGACTCATTGAATGTATTTACTAAGCTTAATGAAGTCAGGGATTTTCTCCGTCTGTTCACTGCTGTGTCCCAGTGTCTTGCACAGTGCTAGGCACACAGAAGATGCATAATAAATATCTGCCAAGCAAAAGAAAACCATGACAAGCTTCTAAAACCAGAAATTAATTAAAAACAAAAAAGTAATTCCATGCTCCTAAAAATACTGTTTGCAGACACTCTGCCAACAATAGCTAGAGCCTGCTCGCCAATGTGAATATTGAACGAGGCTTCAAATTTATAAGAATCTCTAGTGTCAAACACAAGACACGGATATTTGGAAGATGTAGTGGGCAAAGCCTGTCTTCCACGTGGTCATCTTCTTATTTGAATTAAGGGTATAACCAAGAAGATGGCCCTTAGACATCCACGTGTCCATCCAGAGGGCCATAAGTGCTGTTAAAAAAACGTGATAATAACATTAAAAAGGGCAAACCTGTGTGTCCTACATGAAATGTATGTACTAATACAGCAAAACCTAAAGCTACCAGAGTACTCCGCTAAATTGCTGGCCTACTTACTGAACTAGCAAGGGGCTGAAAAGAACCTCAAGGGAAGGATGAATTGAGGCTGTTTACCCTTGCCCCTGAACATGTATCTTCTTTATTCAGGGTGTTCACAATACTGTGCAGTCTCATAAGGAATCTTGAAATCCACATTCCTGCTTATCTCCTAGCAATCTTGGTGCCAGCGTATTCGTTTTACATTTTGGGTCTCCTATGGCATGAGTGGGGAAAGACCAGTTCTAAGGAGTTTTCCAGTATAATGCCATATTTAATCAGTGGATAAAATTAACAGGACCTGGTCCTCCCTACCAAGTTCATCCTCGTGTTCATCTCACAGCTGTGACTGAGCAGGAATTTCAGAGAGCAAATGATGGATGCTCATATGTCTTGGTCACTGTCACTGGCATAAAAAATACAGATCCTTGTCTATACAGCCCCCAGGAAACACACCCAAAAAGAGTCTCCTGACAGTGAAGACAAGGCCAGAGGAGATGTACAGCTCCAGCTCCACCTGCACAGAAAATGATGCAGAAACCAATCTGCCAGAACAACAGTTTAATCTTCAAAAGCAAAAGTTGGCCCTAAGATACCAAGTTAATAAGAGATTTTTATTGAAAATATCTTCATTTGTCAGACCCAAGGAGTTCTCTTAGAGAAATGAAAGGCCCCATGTGAAATTCAAAAGAGAATTGACCTTATAGTTCTCCAATGCAGAAGTGAGAGGAGAAAGCCGTTATTCCATGATGGCTCTTCCCAGAGTTCATCTATCAGGCTTTGTCCAATGAGAAGACAAAAGGCCTCCCTTAAACTGTATAGCTCCCAGATAAAATAAATATGGGTTTAATGTTTCTGCTTTCTTTTTTGCTCTATATAATCTCCCCCAAGGCTTAATTTTTAACATATTGTGTATGTGAGTCTCTGTATGTGCCAGAGCACGTGTGTGCCTGCAATCCACACACACATACGCACACACCCCACAACTTAAAGTATTTCAGTTACTCTCCAATTGCCAGTCATAAATGTCAATAATTCCAGCTGTCCCCAGTGACAAACAGCCTGTACCCCCATGCCCATGCCCACATGGCAGCTTCTCCTCCCTATCTCTCCACTCATTCCTTCCTCTTCGGAGTCCAGGTTGACCCTGCTAAAAAGAGTCTCCAATAAAACAGGAAATACAAGGCCTATTTTCCAACTTATAAGCCCAGGCACAGAGGTGTGAGCACAAGTCATCCCCAAGAATAAAGAGGACTAACGGAGGGGGACAAAGGAAACGGACATTGCTGTAGGAAGGGATCAAAGCTAAGTTCATTGTCGCCATTGTTACCGTGAAGTATATCCCCTTGTTCATGACTTTTTTTCTTATACAAATGTCTCTCTCACTAGACTGTGAACATGGAGGGGAGGAACCATTTACCACTGACTCTTGTATCCAAACCTCCTGGGGAAGTGTATGTGCAG